TTCATATTGTAGTAGGTAATTGACAATAGAAAAATCATCGTGTGTGGTTTCTGGGCTGTTACGGACCTTACAAGTTTAATCACATGATACTAGTGCGTTTGGCAGGTTTCTTGGACAGCTGGCCAATGAAAAACGTCCAAGGGTTTCTCATAGTGACTTAGTGGCGTCAATGTAATAGAGTACTAAAGTGTGACGTCATAAAAAAATCTAAAATTATGAGATTTGTCAAGATATCCTGAAAGACCAACGTCCAAGACGCCTTCTTGCCAAAAATTAGCATTTCGGGCAAATTGTCTCTGAGATATTAGCCCCGTTATCCTCTGATGATTCCATACAAATCCTTCTAAATTTGGCTTGGTCCTTGACGTGGGTCTAAACGTTTAGACCCAAATCAAATTTAGAAGGATTTGTACCAGTTCTTGGACCATAAAGTGCCAACCTTTCTTAAGCCACGTGCAAACAGACCCAACAACTCCCAACATTGTTGCCCAAAGTTTGACCGGTTTCAACTTTGCGCAGCAACTCCCAAGAACGCTCAACAACATGCAAGAGGGTGTGCAAATGGACGCAACATGTAACATCCAACAATGTTTTCTCCGTTTGCACGGAGTTTAGCTTTAACAAGTTCTTCGGCGGATTTTTTAACTGAGCTGATGAAAAACTGTTTCTATTTTTTATTTTATTTTTTTTTTTAATCGCTGATAAAAAAAACTGAAACCGCTGAAACTGCTGCATCAAGAGTGGTAAATCGTGCAATAAAATGGGACGATAACTTTAAGTTAAAATCACACCCAGAAATCGCCGTTTCACCATGATTTAATGATCATAGAAAACGTTATATAAAAACAAAACAGGACGCAAGAGAGGGGTGGTAGGAAACGGAAAAATCGCCCAAAAACTGCTTTCTCTCTTTTTGCAATTACTTACATGTTGAAGAATGAATTTATATCTTCTCTGTTGTTGTTCAAAGCCAACTTTGTTTATCAGCGAGCTAACTGTCATTCAGTTAGCAAGTTGCATGTTTCTCCCCGGTCTTTGACTGCTTGCTGCATTTCGATTATTGCTATGTTTTTTTAGGGGGGGGGGGGGATACCCAGCGGAAGCCTCTGCGGAGGAGAGAGATGTTTTATTTATCCGAACAGCCGTGGACATAAACTATTCTCCCCTAGGCAGGGTAAAAGCCTCTTTTTTCCACTAGGAGCTGGTGAGAGGAGGAAAAAAACCCCTTAGGGGCCAACGGGAAGGGGGAAAAGAAAGTAATTCCGCTCTTCCACTCTTTCCCCTCCCCCTCCCCTCCAATAACTATTTTGCTTAATGTTTTTTTAGAATACCAGTGGGAGCCCAGTCTCTGCTAAAAAGAGCACATAGAGGATTTATCATTTGCTCCCCACGTGGACACGTAAGAAAAAGGAACATGTGACAAAGCCCTAGGAACCTCTGCGTTGGTGGCTTATTCATCGTGTGTTCAAAGGGGCAATATCACGAAAATTCTCTCAAGTTTTCGCGTACACTGGCTAGGTGTATTGGACAAAGCCCTCCACTTAGAACCACGGCAGGTAACGCAACTACCCCGCGTCAGTTTTTCGTTTGTTTGTTTTTCTCTCTTTTCGTCTTTTTTAAGTTATTTGCTTTTAAAGATGGAAAATGCTATATTTTCCAAAACCATCGCCATGTATATTGACATTTCCATGAAAGTAATTTTAAAACAAAACAAGCAGGTTTGTATTCATTTTTAGAAGTGTGTTAAAATTTGACTTTTTCCGCTTATACTGAACGAAAAGCTTTCAACAAAATAAACAAATCAAAAGTAAAGTAACTCCATTATCACTGCTGAAGTCAAACATCTAAGGACGTTAGCACTTGTAAAGTAAACGACTTTCAATGCATTTCAAAGATGATATTGTGAGGACTGCTCCAAAGGTCAGGAGGATTTTGAAAAGGGTACATCCACAACCTGTCTACAAGTTGGGACGTAAATGTCAGTCCCACTTTAGCGGAGAAACAAATGCTGTGGAAGTGAGGAAAATGCTTTTATTTGAATGGACAAGAACATTGTGCCGCCTTGGATGCAAATCGAGCATTCGCAGCTTTCCTAAGCTATTTCAGCCACTGACAGGCTCTTGGTTAATTCCGGGGGTTTCTCTAATTTAGGTCAATTCTGTTGGGAGTGTGTGGCACACTTCCTTCTCCTTCATGACCCTTTTTTAGTGGAAAATATACAAGTGATTTTCTGTATCCTATTACAGACAAAAATATGTAATTTCCCTACCACTGTTTGGACCAAAATATGTATTCCCTCCCCCCCCCTAAATATATGTCAGACCTGAAGCGCTGTTCTCAAGAGACGATAAAAATTCATGTTGTTACAAATAAATGCCAAATTCCAGACCCTAGTTCCAGAAACAGAAAGGACAAAACCTTACCCAATCTCGGACCAAACAAGATAAAAACCCTAGTCTTTGGTTCCCTGCAAACTAATATAGGGGGAGTAGCTCCTCCCTGGTGGGGCGGGGTACTTCCTTATAAGAGCCTAATGGGGATGTGCCGCTGGATGGGGTGGCATTTTCACGACTGGATTGACTATAATGGGGTCGCATTTTCAATAGAGTTACTAGAATGGGGTCACACATTTAAGGATTTTTGGGGGTAAGACGGTTCTTCACATTTACGGTTAGCAAACGTACCAGAATGTTTGTACTGTAGATGAAAAGTAAAGTGTTTTTCATTCAAAAAAAAAATGGTTCAATTCATAAAAAAAAGAAAGTGACTAAGTTGGGATCCTGAAAATTACTTATTTGCCCAAAAGTGACCAAGATTGGTGTATAATTGGCTTTAAAATAGACTATAATTGGGTAGGAGCTCTGAGAATATTGCGGCAAATACCAAAGAAATCCCCCCCCCGCCCCCCGCTCCCACCAGACTCACCGCCTCTGAGTCAACTTTCTGCGATATGCCAAGAGGAAACGTAAACTTTTTTATGGCTGTTAAAAGGAAAACTAGTAACTCTTGGTAGTATGTATATGAAAAGGCGGCTGCCCCAAAAGTAACCATTTTATAAACTATAAAAGTGTGACCCGTTTGGTTTCTCTTCCTCTCCTTTCCTTACCCTCCAAACTGCATTTAAGGTCATTTGGCCGCGACAAGCTCGCTTTGGACGCTCGCTTATCGTCGTCTAACTGCATTTTTTTAAATGGTACTGCGTACCCAAACGCTCTCTCAATCAGCTTTCTCCGCAGTGGCCAATATAAAAACTTAGAGTGCAACCACTAATTATTTTTCTCATCTTGTTCGATCTTCTTCGAATTCCCATCTGTTCGCTTCCTCTATTTCTTCTCTCTTCTTACTTAGCTTGTGATTGTTCGGAATGTCAGACCCAAAAACCTCGAGATTTGGCGTCAATTTGGTCAAGGGCTAAAGAGTTTCAGGATTTTCAGATATTTTCAGTAGCCAGGTTTTGGCAAATTCGTTTTGCTTTGCATGATTTTATAAAACATGAACAGATCCTTGCATTCATTGACATGAATCCTACTATCTTCTGCTGCGCCTAACAAAATTTTTTTCCTTCGCCAAGAATAAAGGCTTCGCATGCATTCCAGTATCAGTATCAGTTTCATTTAAATGGGTATTTCCTTGCGTGTTAGAAAATAATGTAGCATTCTAGTGGATCTAAACCACCAGTCAACTGTTAACAAACCTTTTTTTTATTATTAAATCCGTAGAAAAGGAAAAATATCGGACTTTTAATTCTACAAAGGTGGTGATCGAGACGGAAATGACCTGCGAACGGTCAGGTTAGAAAACAATAGGACGTCCGCATTTCCTGTGTCATTATCAGAGAAAAATATAAATTTTAAAATTTTAAAATAAGCAAACAATAGTTGCTCCGCTCTTTAGAAAGCTAGAAAGTGTGCTAGATGTTATTCAAAGCCAACGGGTAATTATAACGAAATGAATATGTGAAGCAGCAGGTGTTATCGGAAAGTCTACATAGGAAATGACTTATTAAAACAAAACACTGTATTTGCCGAGTTCAATTTAACCCATCCCGACAAGACTGCATAAAAGATGCAATCGCTGACAAGGACTTGTCTGACTCCGCAGGCCTTTTTTTAAATTCGTGGTGGTCATCGATTTGTCACCAGCAGTATATAATACCGATTATCAATTTTGGCCTATTGCATTGTTAAGTAGAGTTACCACAGGGATAATGAAGCGACTGAAAACTGACTCTGCCATCGCCAAACTTGGTGAAAGTGCCTATAACGCACTTGTGATGACAAACCAAGTGAGCGGAGTCGAGACACGCATTTTACACTATAGTTATAACCTGTCAGCCGAAGACGGTGCTCAGTGTTCATTCAACGAAGATAGCTATGGTTCTTTGACGAGAACAAGCCAAAGCCTCGGATCACAGCGCATGACAAGGCGAGCTTTTAGCAAAGACGAAAAAGAAACAAATCGTGATTTTGATAAAGAAAAACTACGAAGAAACAGTATTGGGCATTTACCTGGCAGCAAGAATGCGGTGAATGGCTCTGCAAATCAAAAAGAAGGGAAGCCGCTGATCTATTTTGGTGGAGCAATGCAAGCAGGGCTTGTGCACGAGGAATCGACTGCTGACTTAACGAAGGACACGGATGATCGCGTAACGCAAAATAACGGATCGCGCGGAAACCATCCCCGCAAATATGGACTGGGAGAGAGAACTAACGTATCTATCATGAGTCATAAACTAAGGAAAAAAGCTGTTTGCGATTCCACGGACAATTCACATTACCAAAGACAATTCTTAAGGGTTTTGAACAAGCGATTCTAAGAAATCCACTCATTTCTTTTGGGCCTAGTGCATTGCTAATTTTTTTTCTATTTTAACTATTATCTACAGGGTATACGTATTCATTTGCTGTTTTCAAAACTCACTCCTTGATTATCAGCCAGATTGTGTATATATACAAAATATGCATATTTGGTCGACGCAATACATTCGCGGTCAAAATATATATGTTATTATTTTTGTCGTGAACGAATTTGTCTTGGATTTCGAGACTCAGCAATAATTATTATAAACACACCGCACGACATCTATCGAAATGGTTTCAAAAAATTTCCTTGAACTCTGATTCATTAGTAAAATTTGTTAGCCACTTTTTTTTTCTTTTACTGTGAGCTGAAACATTTAGCTGTAAATAGGGAGAATTGAAAATGACTCGGGGCAAAACAGATGCAAATTCTGTTTCAATTTACCTTGATGTCAAGAGGCCCCACGAAGGCTTTATACAGGAAAATGGATGTGAATAATGCGTGTAGAGGCAGGTGGTTTTTTTGAAAATATTTCATAGCCTTTGTATTTTATTCATCTATGCACGAAGATTCTTAAGTTAAAATAATCTTAGTTGTAGGAAGCTTAATGTTTAAAGATGCGCGAAACTCGCTAGAGGAGATAATGAAATTGAAATTTGATCTCGCGCTCTAAGTTATTGTTTTGGGTAAATATTGAAAAGACAGCTTGCCATGCAGTAAATAAACATAATTATTAAGTAAAAATTGTGTCGTGATGAATATCAGGAAAGTGGTAAAATGGTAGTGCTGGAATACAAATAGCAACGTCAACAAAAATAAATATATTAGATATACAAAGATAAACTACTCCCTACTGATAAACAACATACAATAAGAATGCGTTGGAAATTTAGCTATATATGATAGGTAGAATCGCCGTTAATTCTTTTGATAAGCCAGTCCGGATTTCTGTTTTTGTTTTGCTTTTTTTTTTTTAGTTGTGTTGTTTGTGCATGTCCTTTTTCAGCCTCGTCCTCATTGTCTTTTCCGCCATTTTGACGCCGTCGTGCTCCCGTCCGCGACGTGAAACTCGAGCTGGTCTGTTTGGCGTTGTGGCGATAACGTGAGCATTTAACTTTCATTTCAATCAGGTTTGTTGCGTTTAGCAACCAGAATTTTGCAGATTATCGTTCTTAAATGGTCCTTGTTTTCTTTCAGTCACATTTCAAGCTCGATCTCCAAGCTCTGTTATCTAAACCTACATCTTTATAATGTTTCTATGTGTAAAATTTTCGATGTATTCATATGAGAGGGCGGGCTGGCTCGGTTCCCGAGATCTCGGTTTTTCCAACCGAGATCTCGCTAAGCGGGCTAGAAATTTTGCCATATGAACACTTCATCCCGGTTACCGCGATGAACGGCGGGATGAATTCTGGCGGTCCGGATGGCATCGTCTTGCATTGCCTGCTGTATTTTCCACATCATAATGTATCGGTCAAATCGAAGCTTCAACATGCCCCCCCCGGACATACCCCTGGCATTTGACACCTTTGCCGTCCCGGGGAGGAGGGAATTTGATTATCAGAGTCTTTCAGGGGGTGGGGAATTTGATCCCCATGCTTTAGGGGTGGGGAATTTGAACTGCACCCTCGATTTCATGTAAAATCTTTGGCGTGGCGAGCTATCATGGCGGACGCGGTGTTAGAGGATTTTCGTGGAAAAGATTGTGCCTTTGTGGCCAATTGGTTACAAGGAAAGGGCTTAAACAAGCTTTGTGCCGTATTTGAAGTATTCAAATTTTAAAAATTTTAATATTGGATTCAGGCTTTGAACGTGTGAAAGTATTTTATTGTTGTGTTTACAATGAAATACAATACCTATACCGGCGATTCAATACAACAACATAAAATAAAATAAAATAAAATAAAAAGCTCAGGTCAACTACTTTGACTACTGTTAATTAATAAGGTGAGCGATGATGCATATCAGTGAAATGGTCATGATGTAGTAATCTCAATAGGTGGGATCTTTTTTTATATAACACGTTGTATGTTGCATGACGAAGAGCATTCAGTGACCTTTTGTACCAGCAATTTCCGCCGCTTTGCACGAGACTTTTGTTCGTAGTAAATACGCTAACAGTGTTTCTCAGTTTTTGTTATATTCATAAAGATTTTGTTCGACAACTGAAGGCGTTTCCGCCGTCCTTCTGTCATTTTTGTGCCTGTGAAATGTCCCCGGAGTGGGGGCATTTGATCACCTGAATGGACCCTAGTGTGGGACATTTGAACGGCATTTTGCCCCAGGTAGGGGGGAATATGAACAATAATTTTCCAAAAAGTCAAATGCCCGGGGGGTTGCCCGGGGGGGCATGTTGAAGCTTCGATTTGACCGATACATAAGCATCCCATTTAACTGCAGTGATACAGCTTTAAGACTTACCGATGCTAAGATAGGCCCGAAAGTTAAAATTTTTGTGTTTCGCCATGTTTGCTTTGTTTCCCAAATTTGGCGCCAGAACTCTTACCCAGGATCTTTGACCTTTTCTCATCTCGGAAACCGGGCTGAAATTTCTCATATGAACCCAAGGCAAAATTCATCCCGGTAACCGAGCCAGCCCGGTTAACCGGGCTCATATGAAGAGGCCCCCAATCTGATCCAATATGGCAAACAGCAAACCGTAAGTGAGCTTTACAAGGACAAAATTGTCCCACAAGCCAAATGAAAGTGTCCAGACAAAACGTATGAACTCCGATATTTTACTTGTGTGTTTTTAGCTCACTTTTTTCGTTAGACTATCGTATAAATGAAACGTATGTATTGAAAATTGTTTAGAGTAGAAGGTTAAATATCGCGTACTAACGTGGGAATACTGAAATAAAGTTGTTGTTGTTGCTGTTGTTGTTGTTACATGCAAGCAAATAAGCATTAATTCTCTTAATTCTTTATGCGTAGCCATATTTTCCTCTTCGGTAGTCTTCCAAGGCGCCGTCCTCCTGAGTTCACTGCGATCTTAATGTTCGAATTTTGGAAGGAAGCGACGGCAACCTCTGTTCCAGGCTTGCTCTGCCAGTCCGGTCGCCGTCGCCCCGAAAACGTCTCTATCTTAAGTTCCCTTCTATCTCCACGACTGGAAATATGTCTGCGTTAGCAGGCTAAAGGTTAGGAGAATTTGTTCCAGGGGCGCGTTTCTCGAAAGGCCCGATAACTTTTCGGGCACGAAGGAAATTTTTCAAAGCAACCTCTGTTACATAGTAGCAAAGTTCCTAGCTCACAAATCGGTCAGTTTTGCTCCGGTAACTGATAGTTTCATTGTGTCATTTTCAAAATTACTGAAACTTTCACCCCAGGCTGTTCTCCGTATTCAAAGGGGCGCCGCATCAATTTCGCTTAATCGAAATAACCAAATAAATCTTCTCGGTGGTTTTCACGTTGAAGGCCACGTAGTAATTGTAAGATCAGGTACCAAGGCTTTATCTTTCAACCTGTTTAATTTGAAATTTTTATGGCATTTTATTTGGTCAAAAAGTCCTGTTCTGATCACGTTTTATGGTTTATAATAGGACAATCTCATGACTTTTGGAGGGCATATAGTTTATTTTAGTTTACGATGGAGTCGTGAAAAATTTGCAATGTGGAGATATTTTGGGAATAGATCTTAGGTCATTTAGGTTAATTATTTGAAATATCTGCATCCGAAAGCTTGCAAAGAGCAGCCACAAGTATGGTATTCAATTGGTACAGGGAGTGCTCGCCGATTTTCTCTTCAAGTACGAATTCTCCCTCTAAACTAATAATAGGTAATAATAAAAATATATAAATAATTTATAACATCTTTATTATCTTACCGTAAAGTTCCGATACTAACGACCCCCTGAAAGTAGCGACCCCCCGAAATTAACATCAATTTTTGGTGGCCGCTATTGAATCCCGAAAGTAGCGACCCTCCGAAAGTAGCGACCCCCCCGAAAGTAGCGACCTCTCGAAAGTAGCAACCCTTCCCGAAAGTAGTGAGACCAAGTTTATTTAATTGTATACCGTATACTATTAATTTGTCAATCAATAGTCCAAATTTTTATGTACAATGATATGTTCGTGCAGTGTCACAAATTGTTCACGATGAGGCACTTTAATTTACAACAAGGGGAAGCTTTATGCCCCCATTCGTCCTTGACATCAGTTCACTGATGTAGCGATGTAAGAACTACCGTAAAACGGCATAATTTCGTATTAACAACAGGAACGTTTCTTCAAATTGAAGTTGGGTTCGAGGAGGAGGCATCGAGATTCCTTGCGTTTATGAAATTGGCGTCAAGAAAGGACTTAGAAGTCTAAGAAAAGAACTGAGAGACAAACTAATACAACTCGTCCCGACCAATGACAATACAATCTAAGAAGACATCCGGAGCCCACCCATGTCGCAGCTAAAACATGAAACTGGATAGACGAATTTTGTCTCATTTGTTTATTGGTGTTGATATAGATTTATGTTATTTTTTACCCTATTGCTGTATTTATCATTGTTACCTTCTTTTTATAAAATACAATCTATACATATGGAATGCAAATAGAATGTTGTTCTTTTTTAAATTTTATGTCGTTCATTTTTTATTTCGGAAAAAAAGCTCCCGCAAGCTCTATTTGTAAACGATTTTTGTTCCCCGAAAGTAACGACCCCCCGAAAGTAGCGACCTCCAAAGGCTGCTAATTCCGAAAGTAACGACGGTCGCTACTATCGGAACTCTACGGTAGTACTTTAGTATTTAATCATGTTTAAATTCGAGTAATTCACACCTGAGAGCTTTAGAATAGACCTTTTTAGCTTGTATGTTTTGTTTTTCCAATGCAGGCCCTGTGACGTTACCCAGTAGAACTTTTCCTTGCAAATGCCTGCGTGCATATGCGTTCATAACTAATGAAAAGACAAAAGGCAACTTCCCTTCAGAACGTCACGTGGCCTGAAATGGGAAAATAAAACCTACAAGCTAAAAAGGTCAATTGACAGAATATTTTAGCTTTTGAAATAACTTGATATTT